CTTAACCTGCTCCTTAACACCTAACATCCTGGAGCCCCAGTATACAGGTTTCATGCCAAAATATTGCTGTACCAAGATCCCAGCATCAGATGAAACTGCTAAAGTAATCACTATGTATAAATATTTGGCTTATGTACATTTTATTAAGAATACTGGGGCAAAGGACAAGGGGACATTAGTTCCATAAGAAGGAATAGAGATTTTACAGTCTGAATAGGAAGCAATAGTTCTTAAGCCCCAGGTCACATCAAAGCCGATTTTGAAATCGTGCGACTTACAGTGAAGTAGCACGATTTCAAAATCGGGTGTGACCTGCCTATTTCAATTGCGATTTGCAAGACATCTAACACAGATGTCTATGCAAATCGCAACAAAAAAATTGCTTGCACTACTTTAGAAATAGCGGACAATAGGGTGCGACTTGGCATACGATTTGCAAGTTGCATGGCATGCAAATCGCATGCCAAATAGCACCCGATGTGACCAGGGTGTTACAGTAAGGTTGTTTAATGGCAACATCAATAACAGAATTAATATATATATTTTTTTTAATGATTTCCTTATAACTAACTGGACCAAAGCTTATGGTTTCTAAAAAACAGTGTTGCATTTCTTTAAAATGATGTGGCTGCTTAGTGGAGTCAGGAGGAATTAATTTGATGTCGTATTCCTTGCAAGACAACATTTGGCAACACAAGTAGCCCAGAGGATAATTGTCTTGCCTTCTTCCAAACTGAAATCGCAGAAGCTGCAAATATGTGTTTGATTAGCCTTTTTAAATAATTAAATGTAAGCAATTTAAGGCAGATCTTTAGATTTGAAACATTGACGTGTAATTGCCATTCATTGCAGTGGTACTTTGAGCCCATGCTGGCGTGATGCCACTCCCCCAGAGGGTATGTCCATGAGAGGATGGGCTCAAAGGAAGTGGGTTGAATAAATCTGGTGCTCATTCATCCTGGAAGCACCATATGAAGGAGGAATCCAAAAATCAGTAAAAACCAACATACTCCTTCCAGCCAAAGACCTTAAGCAGAATTGTGTGCTAAGGTGGATGGATTATCACCAGCACACCATTGTAGCAAAACAGCAATTAAACATTTATCCTGCACATCATAATGCGTGCACATAATACAAGCATTATGTGGTGGCAAATAAAATTTTAAAGTATAACTAAAAGCAAAACTTTTTTTTTAGTTTTGAATAGAGATGTTTTAGAACACCTATATAGTCTTAATTGCAGTCTGTGAGCCCCATTAGGGAGATTCACTCTCTCTATTTGCCCTGTTTACCGCTTTCATCAAAAGTGAAAGTAAAAGAAAATCATAAATTTTGTTTTGTGCTCAGAACAGTAATAGAGGGGACATTTTTCAATAGAGACACTATTTCTTGTAACCTGGGGACCCATATAGATTTTCGTAGCTTGCTGGGATTTCCTGTCACATCTTGATTTGGCTATGGGACAGGAAGTGAAGGTACATTCCCCCCAATGGGACACAGATGGCATAATAAAAAAAACTGATAGCGGTTGTAACCCTCCCTTACTGAAAATGAAAAAAGTGTTTCCTATAGTTCAATTTAATCTGCTGGAGATGAACCAGACACATGTCTTGATTTGAGGTTAGTGCGGCAAGATTCTTGTTTGTTTTTATAAGGTCTGGATTATGATTTTCTGAAATTAGACTTCTACTTTAACTGATGTTATTGACAAATACTGAAAGTAGTAGAAAATCTAAACAAAAGAAGTCTAAATAACTCTACTCTTTAGTGCCTAAATTTCAGTAACAATGTAATACCTGGTGGTACCTGTGGAGTAATGTTGCAATGGGTGATTGCTGTAAATAAAGGATTCATATACTCAGATGCAAGAATCAGTGGCGTATATTCCTCCCTATAAATTACTTAAGGTATCCACAATTTGTATTTCAATAATAGGTGCAATAAACTTCATTTGTTAAAGCGTCCAAGTGCAAATGCAGACAGCAGGACTGGTCAATGATCCATATATGTGGATACAGGTGGGGCTCAGTTGACCTCCTAAATGACTATCTTTACTTGCCATAGTTTTTTTGATTTTTGCAAATAAGGCAGTTTGACTTATCTGAGTAAACAGTCTCTTAACTTCTATACAAACTTGCTATGAACTTTGTCACACATCTGATACTGTACATTGAACTGAATAAAATAATTCAGAATGCTCATCCTATGAAAACCGTGTGTAAATCATTATGTGAATTATTCATAAACTGGCCCAAGAGAAACTCTAGAAAATGAACTGCCTGTGGCCTATTTTATTTTTTAGGTCTTTTATTCCACAGCAACAGACATTATTAGGAATATATTATCTATTGTCTTTCTGCTGGTATGAGAAACTTAATTGCAAGTAAGAAAAAGTAGTTTTGAAGCTTTAAAATAAATAATAATATGGCAGTATGTTTTAGGCTTGCGACTGTTTTGCGTTAATAGAGAAATCTAAAAATAAATAACAGATTTTTGTTGTTAATTTAATTCACTGTAGGTTTTTATATAAAATGTGTTTCTCAAGAAATAGCCTACTTTCATAGATACTAATTGATGGAAAATAGTTCTCCTTAACATTTTGCAATTGATTAAAGAGACTTCATTCAGAAACTATCTATTTGGCACATGATTGCTAAATAAACACAAAACAGAAAGTTATCTAAATGCCTCCATAAGTCTTTTCTTCATTCAGCCCCTCTGAGAATGTTGGGTGCCTGCACTCCCACCACACGGCAAGGTTCCTTAATCCAACTCCGACATCGTCTAGAGCTTGGCAGAGACATAGGGGTCAAAAGAAGGTGCCAGCATGTGATGGGGGACACAGACATCTGACACTTCTGGAAATGTTGAATGGTTAAGAGATTTAAGGAGGCTACAGCACAGGAAGGGGGAGGTAAGAGTCACATGCAGTTGGAGGAGTGAGTATACAATATATACAGTATGAGTGAACATCTGTCTTTTTTTAAACTTTTATTTGTGTTCCTGAGCCTTGGTGGGCAAACAAAAGTAGATACAAAAGGTAAAGTGCAAGTTGTAAAGCAGGGAGGAACTGTTAGTTGACACTAAAAACTGGACAATAGGTAAATGGAAGTGTCCATGCATATGGGAACCTAGTTCTAGTAAATGGGGAGGGAGGAGAACAGGGAGGCTAGTGATAGAGCATGAAGAAGAATAAAGGAAAATAGAGGCAAGGACTGAGGGGAGGAAGAGGGGAGAAAGAGAGAAGGGGAGGTAAGGTAAGAAGAGGGAAAGAAAAAAAAGGTGGGGAGTGGGTGAAAGTAAGGGAGCTGGGGTGCAAGATACAAGCAAGGGTGCAGGACAGGGTGGCATGAGGAAGATCATCTGGTGCTGCAAGAGGGGTGGAAATAGGGGTGGTCTGATGGTTTAGAATAGGTGGAGAAAGCTGCCACTATTCAAAAAAATGCCTGATAGTCTGGAGAGTACTGAAAGTCCATACAACAGAGCCAAATGTGTCAAAATGTATCCTCATGACATGGAGAAAAGAGCTTTCAATGCATATTGTGTCATTGTGTTGGATCATCTCGTAGGCCAATGTCTGTTAACCTATGGCATATACTCCTTAAGAAATTTCAAAAGTCACGTATAATGGGACAAGTCCAAAAGATGTGGCTGAGGGTGCCAGTTTGCAATTTACCAGCAGGAGGAGGTCACTTAGTGAATTTTATTGGAAGTGAAGAATTTGTGGGCAAATAGTAACATATGGTCATTCTGTTTTGGGGAAAGTAAGTGTCCCAGCTCCTTTTATTTCAGTAATGAATGGGGGTAGGGTCCACAGCACTAATCAGGATGTCAGGATGGGCTGTTGATATGGAGTGTCTTGTTGGCGAGTCTTAAGACATTCATTTTCAAATGGTGTGAGAGACCTGAAAAGAACAGCTTGTGTTAAGTGAACAAGGCTCCAATGGTCAATGTCATGCCAAAAAGGGGTTTTATTTGGAGTCAGAAAGCAACTTCCCTTGGAAAAATAAGGGTTCTAAATCTCTTGAAGAACTGGAGGAAGTGAGCTCCAGACTATCCAGACAGGAAGCCCAGGTAATCCAGAACGGGAGATGGTTGAGAAGATTTACATGAGACTTTTGCAGAGGGAAGTAGCTGGTGGGCTTTGCTAATTTGACTCATTGCTTCAGCTGGAATCCTGAGTACTATTTGAGAACCGTGGCCATATGGGTGACTTACTTTGTATCATAAGTTATTATGGAAACCTATGCCCCCTTTGGTCTTAAGGAGTTTTGTAGTATATTGTGTGTAATATACATATATTTCACTGGGGCCTGTCCAAGAGTGAACAGTATGTGTTTCAATATCATATATATATATATATATATATATATATATATATATATATATATTACACACAATATACTACAAGTTTGAGTACGGAATTCTTGATTTTTGTCCTCCAATGAGCCCAGAGAATATGAGGAAGTGGACCTTAGATCTGCAATGTAAGTGACAGGTATTATGATTGGAAGTGTAGCAGATAGGTAATTATTGGGAGGACATTCTTTTTATTATATTATTCCTGCCAAACCAGTTAAAGATGCCCATATGCCATCTCTTGATGACTTGTTTAATCCTATGAAGGATTGGTTTACAAAGTGATGCTAAACCCAGGATCTGGCATTCACTATATCTGGTCTCCCACAGTATACAAAATATGGAAATGCAATTATTTTAGTAAATATAAACTGCTAAATACCTTTTCTCTTCAACAGTTAGAGCAGTCTTGTGACTTCAGCAGAGCACTGGTTAAAGGTTGTAGAAGGAGTTTTCTATCTGCACTAGAAGGATGTGAAACCCCTGACCCTCTGCCTTGACAGTGCTGATTGGCCCTGTTCTGATCACATGCACTCTCCCAAGAAAAAAAAACTTCTCTAGCAATACACACCAAACTGAGCTTGTGCATGTGACTACGGGTTCAGTCTGTATCAGGTGGACATTACAACAAGAGGAGGGACAGAGAAGAAAGGATCAAACAGCCTTTTTGAACAATGCAGAGGATTAACCCCTTAGGTTCCACGGTGAGTATAACAAGTATGCTTTACTGCATATAGAGATTGATTTTACTGTTGTGGGTTTAGTAACACTTTAAAGAGCTGGGAGAGGCCCAGGTAGCAAATATGAGGGGAAGCTCATTTAAAGGGGAAGTTGTTTTTGAGAATGAGAGTAGAACCCCCCAGAGCTTCAGATTTATTGTAGTTAACTGTATAATTAGAAACTGCACAAAAAGTGGTAATAGCGGACACCACAGCCTGGCACCATTGGCAAAGGAACAGAACACTATTTTTCTTTACCACAATGGAGGGAGCTTTTTCCAGTTCCTTATATTAGGTCCTAAGCCTATTTAGGACAAGATAGAGTTTTGTGTATAAACTGCAAAGTAACCCAACTGAACATTTTTTTCCACACCAAGGATAAGAGTAATAGACATGTTTTGGTAGAATGAGCATGTAGGATTACATTGATAGTTCAGCATATTATCCTTAGCCTTATGAATCCTGACTGGTTTGGGTGGATCAAGGATGTTAAATGTGGGATGATGCCATTTACAGGAAGTAGTTTGCACAATTGCTGGGAGCCTTCCGTTCCTCATGGATCTCTGAATTATGTGCTGAGAAAGTATCTCTCAAATGATGAAGCCCATCAAGCATAGTATTGCATTCCCTGGATTAAAAAAGTAGGTATCATAGAAAGAAGTTTGGAATAAGAAGCAATAAAGCCATCAGGCCCTTGGACTTTGCTTGGCTCCACGGAACCAATCGCTGACAGAACTTCCTGATCACAAATTGGAATGTCAAGCTCTGAGCTGATGGTTGGGCTCAGGGAAGGAAAGCCCAAGGTTGGGAGATAAGAATGATAGCAGTTCAAAAATAGGTCCTACCTGGAGAAATAGGTATAAATATGAGAATAGGTAATAGAACTCGCTGATGGGTTCTGAAAGGTCTAGATAGGAAAACTAGGTAACAGACAAAGGTGAGTATAAACAGTTATACTGTTGTCTGAGGACTCAGTGGACTTAGCGACTAGATTGTCCCAGCCCAAACCAGTCCATGGGCACCACTAATGTGAGATGCAAAGAGAGAGTGTCTGGCTGAGGGAGAAATCCCCAACCCTAATAGGAGCACAACGCAGATGATTTGGACATAGTTCAGCTGGGATCTGGGCACCTAGCTGATCCATCCCCCATTGTTAGCCACCTTATGAACACAAATTACAAATGTAGACAATTTGGAAATAAACTAATTGTAAACTGTGAGGTGGAGATGAGCAATACAGGGTTAAAGCATTGATGTTTTCCCAGAAGGGCTTATAACCAGTGGAACCTGAGCCACAGAGCATGTAGAAGACCATGAATGGGAAATGTTATTAACAACATACAGGCATGTCTGGCTACTTTGTCTGAACTTCCTAACAGGAGGGACAACAGGGGCTCTGGAGTGGAGCATGAAGAAAGAATGGGATACAGTTGGTACCTCAGTACAGTTAGCAAGTCGAGTCACTCAGTCTCATCTGGATTTGTGACTATGCCATAGGCTACTGCTTCATAGGCCTGAAGAAGGAACAAGTATGACATATTCAGTCTTCTGTATCTTTCACAGCCAAGCAGATTCCACCAGTGCAACAACCAAAGGAGTATTTGTGAGAGGAAAAAATGGAAAAAAAGGGAGGGAGTGGGTTTGGGGATGGAGGGGGAAGATGGAGCAGTGTGTGTGTTTGTGTGGGGGGGGGGAGGTATTGTGGTTTTCATCTTCGGGTGCCTCTGTGCATATTTCGAGCAGAAGGGAGGCCTCTGCAGCAGGGAAGCCTGACAGACCTATACTCCAGTCTGGCAAAGGTATTGGTTTAATTCATAGTAACTTGAATACTGCAGGCACTTGAAAAGAGTGTTGCAGGTGAAAGGAATAATCACCTTTGTGTATAATAAGGTGGATGGACTGGGCCATTTGTAGGGATAACCTTTGGATTTCACCTGTGCTAGGAGAGGTGCAGCATGCCTCTCATGTACAGTGTCCTGCGCAAGAGGTCTGCTAGATTGCATGTTTACACTCCTGCAATTTCTACTGTGCCTTTCTCCCAAACCTTCTAGTGTGCAGTTCTTTGACAGTAATCAAGTGGCTATGACACAGGATGACCCAAGGGTACAGTGACAAGAACCCTATTGTGTGATACACCTGGTTTAATGCTATTTAAGCCATCACTGGTTTGTCAAGAGATGTATTGAGATTCAAAATTACCTTCAGTTTCTGGTCTGCTTTCTTCACAAATTCTGGTATGCTCCTAATCCTATTCTTTAATGCTCTGATTCTACAGGTCATCTAAGTGCAGTTTTGGATGAAGAAGCTATGTTCTTAAGTGGCTTGAGCATCCTCCATTTTGTGGAGCTGTATTGTAAGGTAAACATAGTATGTTCTAGGCTCTCTACACAAGCTTAGGTTAAATTTGCATGGATCTCATTGATTTCCTAATTTAGGGAAGCTATGATTCTTACCATCTGCATCTTGATATTTTGTTTGACAGATAGGGAGTTTAGGAGCACACTGAGCTCTCAGTTCTCCATACTGAGGTTGGTTGTGTTGGTGAGTGTCTGGGGGAAGTGGTAGACTGTAGACTGATGTGATGCTCGGTGGCCCTTCTCCATAGGTGGTGCCACTGCCAGGCCAAGGACCAACATTGTGTTCAGGAGAAAGTAGAAGAGAGAATAGCAGTGTCTCACCTCCAGCAGAAGCTGTAGACATTCATCCTCGGCCTTCACTTGGATTGTGCTGGGATGGTTGTTCATTGGCCAAAAAACGCTTGTAAAGTGCCAGCTGAGGTGGCTTGGGACAGAGCAGGATCTAGAAGATCATCAGTGAAAACTGAGAGGAAAACATTTACTGAGTTGGGGAAAGCCTGGAAGCTGCAGAGTTCACTGAAAACCTGTCCTCATGCTGCCATTGCAAAGCCATGTCCCCCAGAAATTGATGTTTTAAATGAGTTAAAAGCATGGTAAGTTCATTTTAAAGTATAATTACACTTTCACTAAAGATAATGCTTTGTACTTGTCCCAGAAGCCTATGAGAAAAAATACCAGCAGGATAGGTTGAAGATAAAATCTGTTCCAATCAGAAAGGCCTGCCTTTCTTTTCACCTGTATCTCTACTGTAAACAAAAGTTTTTTTTTTTCCAACACATGGAGTATAAGGAAGCAATCTTTTGACCTCTACACTGTCCTGAGAAGACATGTTTTACTATTTGAGCAACATGGCTGTTTGCATACATACAGTAGATACATGTCTGCAGCCCCAATGATGTGAATGCACATCAGTAATAGTGAGATCAGGACCACCAAGTCATTTATTGATCCCTCAATTTAATAAGATTTCAACAGTGTTTCTGTTGTCCATGACACAGTTTTGTTACATGTAATTATCTGCAATATGTCCTATGTTTTAATTTTTCATATGTTTAATGTTTGTTCTATCCCACTAACCTGTTGGAAATTGTGTTCTGCCTTTTTTGGGGGTTTGGGGAGGTTTAGCTTTACGTATGCCTTTTACCTCCTAAACTATGCTTCTTATCAATGCCTCTTATATAGACGATGTTAGAACAGGTATTAGTTAAAATATTTTTTTTAGCAGATGTTACTTTCCAGAACATACTTGGAAACAGCTAAACCGTGACAAGAGCCTAAATTGTGGAAATGGTGACTATTTAAAGCACTTTAGAGTTTTAATTGCTCTTGTCCTGACCCAAGTATGCTAACAGAGGAGATTTTTTCTATTTGTCACATTTCTGTTAAGTTTCAAATTGGTGATGTATTTGCTCTAAACAAACTTTTTTTCAGCACATACACGTCAAAGAACTATCCACAGTTATCATAAGTCATGTGTTTTACTCTTTGAGCCTTGTAACTGCCTTCTCTATCTATGGATATGTGTCAAAAGGCACATTAATATGAATATATAAAAATGAGTGCTCTGAACACTAAAAAAATCATAAACGATAATAAATCAAATAAATACTGCTACATAAAAAATGTGCATAAATTAATTGAAATGATATAAGTCCACATTCATATATTAATAATTAAAAGTCCCAAAATCTAATAACACTGTGCTGTGTGCTAAAGTAATCTTCCAACGGAAAGTGCATGGGTATCCACAAATGTGCGCTTACATAGATACGGTTTATTAAGGCATTGTAAACATTTAAAATTCCTGCAGTGTCAGACCACCGGCAGGAACAAGGTGACGTCACAGAAAGCTCCGCCCGATACGCGTTTCTCCAAAAATGGCATCCTCTGGGACTGGAGAACTGTTCTTTCTGTGACATCACCTTGTTCCGGCCAGTGGTCTGACACCGCGGGAATTTTAAATGTTTACACTGCCTTTTATGAACCTTATATATGTAAGTGCAATACTTTAATAAATGATTTCCTGGTTTTTATCGGGTCGCACTATGAAGTTTTCTTCTTTTGTTTTAAACCTTTCTTTGCATGATGTGGAGAGCTGTCTGATGTGATGGATTTGTTCAAGTGAACCTGCAGTTGTCCATTCATCTCTTATTCATCTCCTTGATAGGGCTAACTAGGGTGTCAGTGTGGAATCTGAACACCATCTGCTCGTTTGATCTCTTGAGTGGAGATCAAAGTGTCTGGTAATATGCTGATTTTTCCTTTTGTGTCAAGCATTTGTGGACACCTATGCACTTTCTGTTGGAGGATTTCTTTAGCACACAGCACTGTGTTATTGGATTTTGAGACGTTTAATTATTTAATATATGAATGTGGACTTATATAATTTCATTTTTTTTTTGTAGCAGTATTTATTTGATTTATTATTGTTTATGATTTTTTTAGTGTACATAGCACTCATTTTTTATATGTTTTGTATTTTCTGGTGTTCAGGGAAAGAGTAGCAGCAGTTCACTAATTGTTTCACTATTGTTCCAGAATATATATTTTTTCACATTTATTCACATATTGTATTGCCTGGGGTATAGCACAGGTTTTTTTCCCCTTTTTTCTACATTGATATGAATGAACATGAGCAATAGTGAGACTGGCTTCCAAGTGATTTACTGATCCCAAAAATTATGTCAGCATTGTCT